ATATATATATATATATATATATATATATATATATATATATTTCTCTTTTTTCTTTTTTATATGATGAACAATTTTGTTTTACATTATCACAATCAAAAGAAAATCAAGATCGATGTTGGCTACAATTTAAAACATTTTAGTAACAATTCAATCAATAAAAGTTCAAAGTAAAAGTTGAAATCATTGACCCTCGTGTGATCGAATTCCATTGCTAGATATCGCCGTCTTTCTTGACTTGAAATTGCAAACAACGCCGCCTAAAACCTCATATAAAAACCTCAAGCCAACGAGTTCAATCCAATCTCGGCATCTCACCCACCACCTTCTGCAGATAGAAAAAAATGGAAGCATTTCCGATTCAGTTCTGCCGAGCCGTGAGATCCTACTGGCTTCGCCGACGCTATGGGCGGCTCGAAAGAAGCAACAAGAAGACCGTGAAGGTCGCCCGGCTTGGTGGCGACACCGGTTTTCGCCGACCGGTCAGGCTCCGGCGGGTCTTCCGGATCCGGTTTAAGATGCTCTCGCCGGTCCGCTTACTGACGAGGCTCCGGGACGCTTACGTGGACGCCATGCTTGGGCTGGCCGGAAAGGGGTCGAGCCTGTCCACCTCGACCGGAGCAGAGGCTCTCCTGAATCGGCGGATTCCGAAGGCCCGACAAGGGAAGCTTGAACCGGGTTATTTCGAGCGCCGGTTGCTGCTTGAGATCTGCCGGTCCATCCGGGACTCCGGGGTGTTGGCCGTTGATCGAAAGGACGAAATCGTTGGGAGCTGATAAGGTCCTCCGAACAGCGGCCCTTCGTTTCCTGGGGGCACAATCGGTTTTACCTTTTGTTTGTTTGTTTTTTTTTATTTTTTTTCTTTTTTGTCTCTGCTTTGTTGGGTAAATATGTAAATTTATTTCTCCTTGTTTTATCAACAAACAATGTATGATAATATATTTTAATATGATTGGACGACGGACGACGGACGACGGACGACAATAATTTTTCTGGGATACCGGGTACACTTCCTCCGTGTTAAGCAATTGAGAGGATTTTATTAGATTTTTTTTTATGCACCTTTTCATTATTGAATCGAGTATTTTGGAAGGGCAAGCATATTTGAAGTCAACATATGTATTCATCTTGCATGCATTTTGTATTATTCAAGAAAATAAGATTTTCATCTATTGAGGTCACTAATCATATTTATTATATATAAGTCCGCAAACATTTAATTTACACTTCAAGAACTATTACCACTTGTCTCCTCTCTTCATTGCCATCTCTCCTCTCCCTCATCGTTACTCCTGCCTATAAGAGAAAAATTTTACATCCGGAGTCCGGACACAGCTCTGTATGCAGACTTCCAGTAATATCTCGTCACGTGTGTTACATCGCAGAGTTTATTGGGGGTTATTGAAGTGAAACTGCAGAGATTATTAGGGGGTTATTGTGAGGGTTAATGTAGGGAGTTGTTGAAATGAAACTGTGAAGATTATTGAGAGGTTATTAGGGGGGTTGTTGCGGGGGTTATTACAGAGAGGTTATTAAGGGTTAGGTTACTGGAGTGGAAGTCCATAGGCTACTGGGTGGTTATTAAGATATTATTGGAGTTAATACCTCAATGAGCCTCCAAATAACAACCGCAGTTTCACTTCATACTTTAATAACCCTTGTGATTTTATTTTATTATTTTTTAAAGTTGGCTTGATATAATACAGTATTTTACACGTTTCCGTCTGCAAAACCCCACGCATGAGCATTGTTCCTCCACGCTTCCTAAGCCCTCACGTGGCATCTCTCATCTACTCATGCTGTTGCGAAATCGAGCTCACCAAAACATCGCCACCTCTTCAGCGGCAGCAAGCCATTAAGGGTCTGTTTGGGGCAGCTGCAGCTTATCCAGCTTCTGCTGATAAGCAGCTTATCCTGATAATCTGCTGATGACCAGCTGATCCGGATAAGCTGTCTGGCTGTTTGGTTAGTGCGTCTGGAAAACAGCTGATTCTGCAAAATTGACTATTCTGCCCTTGTTTTGAATAAGTTGTTTAGCTGTTTGGTTAGTGCGTTTTGTAAACAACTTATTTTTAAATTTTTTTAGTTGAATGAATAATCTGTGTAGCAGAATGTTATTTTCTCAAATGTCAAAAAATGAAAATACAAAAAAGTTTAATAATATTTATATAACTCAAAAAAGTTGTGATTACATCAAAAAAGCATAATGATATATATTTTTTATTTGTGCTCAATTAGTCATGAAAAGATTTGATGCGAAATTCCCCTGCTATTTCTGCATTTGGAAAGGGCATTTAATAAACCTTCTAAAAGGGCTGTCGCACCAAATGATCAGGAGGCTAATGAAATGGAATGAGGCTTGAGATCCTCTCATACAAAAAAAAATCTTTTTTCCCCATCCATGTTTCAATTTTTCATTTGTATCCTTCTATAGCTTAATATAACAAAGTCTATGCGTGTTACCTGATGAAACACCCAGCGGAGCATGACATTATTTGCATAACCTACACCAACGCTAGAAACTTTCAAATTTTGAATATGTTTTCGGAGGCTTCTACTAACCCAAATTGAAAGATAAATCCCAACCATTTGCTTGCTTATGATTCTCACAAAAAAATGATTTTTCCTTTTTCTTTGCAGTATCATCCTTCTTTAACTCAACTACCAAGCCTGATCCAGCAAAATCCTTGCAATTCTGGTTGGATGAGTTGAGATAATTGGGATTTTTGCAAGACTTGAAAGTATTTGAAGTATCTAAGGAAAGTTGAGCAAATATGTCAAGTGGCTGCTCTGTCCATACCAAACCAATCCTCTCAGAGCTGCTAATGGTTTTGATGAGCCTTTTTGGTTCGGTGGTTGAAGATCCTAATGCTATTCAATGGCTTTTAAAACTTGAACAATGGGATTCGTTAAACACCCTTTGAGAGAATAGGGGCTGCTTAACCAAATGCATGAGGCTTCCCACCAATCTAAGGAGAAGTTGATGAGTGCAGCCTTATCCTTGCATCACAAATAGTTTTGCTTCTATGATTCAAAATATATTTGACCTCCAAATAATACTACAAGTACTTTCCGTTGAGAAAAAAGCCTTAAGGAACAACTTTCAAGCGCTTTTTTTATCCATTTCCTCGTCAATTTTAAAGGAATGATAGATAACCCCGCTTAAGAAAGAAATAAATGGAGAAAAAAAGAAGGCAATACAAAAGGAAAACATAAAAATGAAAATAGAAACATGTAATTTATGTATAAAATTTATAAGAAACTTTAACATTTGTTAACTTGTAGTGTTAAAACTAAAAGTAATTATATCATCAAATTATTAACCTTGTGTTTGAAGCAGACCAGGGCATTAACCTGCCATTCCACAAGCTCCTTCTGCAGCCGGTTCCAGACGATTTTGCTCAGGGTCTGCTACGATTGAACCTAAATTCTTTAAAAGAGATATCAAACCATAGAGAAAAGAGCAACGAATTGAGGGAGGGATACTAAGGAGTAAGAAGAAGATGAAGAGGTTGAAATGACCTTGCGAGAAGGAGCGGCGACGGCGGTCATGCTTCTCAGAAGTAGAGCTTTGGTGGTCATGCTTCTCAGAAGTAGAGCTGGGGAAGAGAGAAAGGGCGATTTGGTTCCCTCACAGAGAAAAAGCTCCAACTTTTTTACTCAAGGCAAGCCATGGCGGAACTTGATTGGTCTGAGCAGAAGAATCAGTGCCAAAGGAATGCGTCCTTACCTGGAAGAGAAGGAGTGCCGAAGAAGCAGGAAGCGGCTTTGCGTGCTCGATCGCGAACGAAGGAGGAAGGAATGTCGAATCCGGGAAGGGTAAGGGCAGAGGGTTCGATAGCTATACGAGGGCAGCGGAGTAATTCGTACAGAAGACGCGACAAGGGAACGCGGCCCGCGGGGATGATCCCACGGGCGATCTTATTCACAAAATAAAAACTGCGATTTCCAACACGCAATTTAAACGTGTTAACCAAACAGTGAGGCGGCGTTTTCAGCTGCCCCAAACAGGCCCTAAATCATCCCTCCCCACGCCGCTGCGTCATCACTGGCAGCAAACTGATTCGGATCTCCCTCTCTCCATTTTAATTCACGAATCTACTCTCTGCCGCTTCTTCTCCCCGCTGCCCGAGACAGCAGCGCGGTCATTTCGCTATCCACGCAGCATATCACCTGCATCTTATCCAATTCGGCGATCTTATCAGCGAATCAGCGATAAACAGCTCTGGCATGCCCATTTATCCCCAGGCTGCATCAAATCTTCTGTCGACCCAGCGTCATCTCTCTCCCCACCGAAATTCCATCTTCCGCATGCCCATCCTCACCGCAGCTTTCCTTCGCCCCATGCGCTCTAATACCTGCAGGAAGAAGCTGCTAAGACGCAGTCGCAGCGAGATGACAGCTTGGACTGTATAAGCACGAAGAGAGGGAGATTCTTAGGGCGTTCATATGTAAAAACCTCTTCAAATAAGATTAACAAGAATAGTTAGTGTATTAAATGCATGATTTTTTTTCTTAATTGATAGTTCCTTTATTTTGTTTATATTTCTAATTGATAAGAAATGGTTGTGATTTTTATGAAATATTTCAAGTGACATAAAAATTACAATATGGATTTTTCTTATATTATATATATGAATTATTTTAACAATAAATAGTTGAGTTCGAATGAACTTCATGTGTTCTAATTAAATTATCGAGAAACGGTAATGGCAAAAAGCACCCTTATTTGAGATGACTAACTGAGATGTGGTTGTAAGTGGATCGGCAACGCTAGAATGGAAAATTAGCATCTTAGGGTCTGTTTGGGGTAGTTTATAAGTGCGGCGGCGTTTTTTGTTTTGCGTTTTTGCGCAGCTTATTAAATAAACCGGTTTTCGATTCGGAGAAAAGCTGATCGCAGGTCGCGATCAGCGTTTCGAACGCGCGATTGGGGATATTTTACGCGTACGCCTTCTGCCCTAAAACATTATTCGCACTCTCCGCCTCCAGTGTCACTGTTCCTCGCGCCAAAGCAGCACCGCTGTGCCTTACACCGAAGTGTCGTTTCTTCGTTGTTCCTCCGCTCCGCCGAAGACCCGCGCTTCCTCTGCCGAAGGTTTGGTATTCCTCCTTCAAAGCTCCGCTCTGCCGCCTCCGCCGAGGAAACCTTGCTCCGTTTCCGCTCCGCCAAAGGCAGCTTCCGCTCATACTTTGGTAAGAAATCTGGATCTTACCTCATCTCATTCATCTCTTCTTCCCTCTTAAATCTTTCCCTGAGAATCTCACCCCCGATTTTTAGGTTTGCCCTCACTGATTCCGTTCGGCCTGCTCTTCCTTGTCGGTGAGCTCCTTCTTTGACATTCTCGGAAGGTAAAACTTATTCCTTGCTCATTTATTCCGTTTCTTCACATTAAGAATTTTTTCATTTGCAAGGATAGGTAGATGAACGGACATGTGATAAAATATTTATTTATTTTTATCTAATTTTATGTGATCGTCCATGTAAATAAAATGAGGATGTTACTCATGTTTTATTTTGTAATATTGGCATATATATGAGTTCATGGATATTAGAGATCACCTCTTATTCTATAAAGATGTACTCATAATCATGCTTTTTATTGTTTGTTGTTGATATGTGGGGGATTATCATTACTGCACTTTGCACTAAAGTGTGATAGCTTTATGGTGGTTATCATGTTGCTATTCTACCTATTTTACTTGTGTTGTTGGTGTTCTCAATTCATTCTTTCTATTTTAGAATTTGACGTCTCTAGATTAGTAGTATTAAAATAAGATTATTATTCTTCCTTAACTTCCATATATTGTTTTGTGATTTTAAATCAAAGCTTTTTTTGGCCTGTTCTTTTTCTATAATTCGTGGTTTCTATTCATAAGCATTCTAGAACTCCTCTAAGGGATTTCTTTGTCCTAATACAAAACAAATGATTATGATTTTCTTTGTCCTAAATGAAAATGGGCAAGTAAGATAGTTAACAGTTAAGTATTTCTTTGTTCTAATACAAAACAAATGTTACTCATGTTTTATTTTGTAATAATGGCATATAGAAAATTTTCTTAGAATATTACATAAGGGTAAATTCATTTT